GTGATGGCAGAGCCACGGGCCCTTGCCCACCTACCTTCCTGCAGCCTGAGCTGGCGCAGCCGGGCTGTCCCCAGCGTGGTGCTGTAGCTCTCCTGACCTGACCGGTTGTTGTAGAGGTATGGGAGGAAGACCTGCGACATCCAGACCCAGAACTGATCTGACCTGCAATGTGGAAAAGGCGTGAGAGGCGGCGGCTCCTGGGGCAGCTCTGCTATGGCAGTCTCTGCCCATCTCACCCGTGACCACCTGCGTTTATTTGACACACAAGACCAAGAGGCGACTGAATCCACTTGGTACCTGGATGAGGATCAGACCAGCAGGTCTGTGGCAACATGGTGGAAAAGAGATGATATTTAGGACCAGATTCTGCTCTGCTCCCCTCCTTTACACCATTTCCAGCCCAGAAACTCCACCAAGTTCACTGGTATCCCTCCCAATTCACACTTGGGGTAAACCAAAGTTTCTGTGACTGCATGGCATGGACGAGCCACGCCAATTTGCACAGAAGAATGGAGGGCTCTGTAGTGAGGTGGGTGCAAAGCAGCCGATAATCCCAGGCAGCCGTTCTGATGTCAGCCTGGGCTGCCGGAGCTTGCAGCGGTGTGGAAACTCAGCTGGGAAATTTTAATCTAGTTAAGCCATATGTGCAGAGCAAGGAAGGGAAGGACTCTGTATTTATATGAGATGGTATTTTTGGTTCTCGTGACCCTGTTTATGTCTAAAACTTACAGTTGTAAACTTTGGAGACAGAGCAAACTTGTGTCCTTTTAACCAGATACAGAAAGATAAACATCTGTAAACCACACAGTCCCACCCCACCAAGGAAATCATGCAAATTCAATGAAATTAAAGCTCCCGACACCCACAGGTCCCTCTGCTCCCCAGGGGAGAAGCAGAACCACAGGGACAAAAAGGGCCCTTCTCACTGCCATGCCGTGCTCGTGTGCAAGTGCTCAGCTCCACAGAGGCACCAGTGCTCCCATAGAACCAAGAACCTCTTACTGGAGTGACTGTGGAGCATGAGCCCAACAGCCAGCCCCAGCCTGCTCCCCACTGCAGCCCTACAGGGCTTCTCTGATATAAAGCAACATCTTGTTTCTCCCCATCCCCAGGGACTTCACAGTTACCTCTTGATGCGGAGGAATTCGTTGCTGCCCAACTGCTGCTTGATGGAGCTCTGCAAAAGGAAGGCCCTGCTGTTGCGGGAGGCATCTCCATAGTTGGTGAGCAGGATCACCAGCAAGAACATCATGTAGATGAGGAAATTCTGGCAAACAGAGAGCAGAAAGGGATTGCACCCAAACATGGGAGTGGTGTTGTTCCCAATCCTGCAGCAAATGGGTGCTTTCCACCGATTGCTGACTGCTGGGAAGCAGGATTGGGACCCAGAGCACGCTGTTCTTTCTTTTTCCATATGGGAAGTGGCTTAAAATGAAACCTAGAGCACAGGTTCATAACAATATTCTTTGTTTGGAATGGCCAGCCTGGCACCACGTTTCAGTTGATATGCACTGCACAAGCTCCCTGAACGAGCTCCCATACGCTGGCTGCTCAGCTTATATGATGGTTACTGGGTTTCCATCCTTTACAGCAAAATCACTCAGTTAAAAATAAACTCAACTCCATTAAAGCAGCTGTGTATTCCCAGCACAAGTGTGGAGGATTAGTACTGAATGAGCTACAAAGAGATCAAAACCTTGCCCGAGCCTCAAACACCTGAGTTATGGAGTCAAATGCCCCAGCCACTCCAGATCAACCCCCTAACAATTCTGCTTTCCAGCCACCTCAGAGCTTCATAGAAAAGATTAATGTCACCACCAGTCTTTTACAGATGGGGAAACTGAGGCAGAAACTGGACACATGGACCTACTAGCTCAGGAGATCGCAGCGGGATTGGGAGGACCTACATAAGGCGGTACCTCAGCTCCTGGAGTCAGCACTCCGCCTCTGCCCTAGGCATCGGGAGATGTCTTACCTTCAGCATCCTGTGCAGCAGTTTGACCTTCCGGGCCTCTTCCTTTGCCTGGAAAAGAGCAAACCCCTGTGGGGGTCGGACTTTGCTGATCTTCTCAGTAACATGGTCAACAAACGGATGCTCCACCAAGGTATCGTCTTCTTCTGGGTGCAAGCGCTTGGCAACCAGTGAGAAATAGAGGGCTTCCAGCAGAACCTGAGGAGACAAGCAGTGCCGTGAGCCTGTGGAGAGCACCATGCCGCCAGAACCACCGTGGGCAGCAGCTCCCGCGGGCCTTTCAGCGCAGGCAGCGAGCACACACAGCTGCTGAGTGCTCTCCCGGAGCAGCCAGATGACCTCTAAAACAAACTGTCCCCAGCTCTGCCTCTCCTCCTGCTGCTGGTGGGCACATCCTTGCCCTCCCACTGGGATACAAAGATGGGAGAGATGTTCAATCCACACGGTGTCCAGTATGACTTGATTAACATCTGGACAAGATGTTAATTACAGCTAATATGTGCTTATGTACTGCTCATGTTATCCTTACCTTCAGGGGCTCCCAGACCAAGAAGGATGCCAGAAAGCTGAATATCCCTGAGATGAGCCACATGAGGGCAACGCTGGAGGAAAAGCCCACCCCGATCCACACAGAGACCCCTGTGGAGGTGGCGAAGAGGAGGAGACTGATACCATGAGCCAGATAGGAGCACCAGGGTGGCAGCAAGCGCTTCCTGAATGTTTGGTCTGCAACTGGAGGGAGGAAAAACAGAACATAAATGTTACTGCAAAAGGGTCCCAATGGGCACAGGAAGGGCTGAGCACACCACTCATCCCAGTAGAGAGCTCGCCACCACTCTTGGGTGGGTCTGGAGGAATTATCCCAGACATCTCCCACTAAGCAGCAACACGGACAGCACACTGAAACACAGCCAGCCTCAGAAGAGCAGCCTCCCAAGCAGACCAACAGGGTGGGCAGGAGAAGGAGACGGGATCCTGATCTGGGCAGTGGGACAGGTTCCCTCTTTCTGTCAGAGCCCCAGGACACCGGGCATGTCCAGCCTGGCTAGAGGTGCTGCTATCCAACCCATGAAAAGCCACAGACTTGTTGCTCTGGCTGCTTTCAGACTGCCAAGCCACCCAGCCCTGGGGCTTGCTCGACACAGCTTCTTTCACCCACCCATGCAAATCAATGCCTGCATAAAGATACTACAACCATTCGTCAGCTGAGATGAAATGATGGATTTTAAGAGACCCAAGAGGACTGCTGCTGTGTCCAATTCTCCATGCTGCAGCCTGCCCCAGGGAGGCTGTGCCTCAGGAAGCCAAGAGCTCACGCTAAGAGAATTGATGCTGAGCTTCCCCGCAGGGCACCCAGGCACTTGTCACCTCCCGGACCTTGTGGGGCTGGCAGCTTGCTCCCTGCCCTGTGCAAGCCCAGCTGGCCAGCTGTCGTGTTGCACGACCCAGTAGGAAGCATCTCTTCTCTGCTTTGCTTTGTTTGTTGATTTGAACTTTTCCTTGGCGTTTGCCTCCTTTTCCCCCTCTGGTTATGCACAGAGACGCTCACTCTCTCATGCCGGGTGGATGAAGGGACTGACGGCTGCAGAGGGGTGCAGAGAGCAGAGTAACTGGGGAAGCAGTGAGCAGAGCTTCCCTAGAGAGCACAGCAGGGACTGTCACAGCACAAGTGGTGGCCCAGGGCTTACTGAGGTTCCAGCTCCAAGGGAAGCTGGCAAGAAATAGCAAATATATCCCAAGCAGGGGAGCAGCCTTTCTTAAGGCTCCTTTTCTGTTTACTGTGTCTCCCCAGGTGCTGCTGTGTGCGATGGCCCTTCTTCCTGCACGTCCCCACCCTCCTTGCCCTGATGCTGGCACAGCCCTGGTACCTGTCCATGTCGACTTGGCGGATCTGCTCACTTCCCTGGGAGGAGCTGCCAGGCTCTGGCCTTTGTCGTTCAGCTTCTGCATCATGACAGTCTCCACCTTCTCCCCGAACACGCTGGACCTGCCAAGGCAAAGGGGTGATATTGGTGAGCCATGCCGCTGCTGGCTCTGTCGTAAGCAGGCTGGCACCGAGGTGGGCTGAACTCCAGTGCCAACACCAGCGAGGCAGCCCCAGACCAGTTACAAGCACTTCTAGAGCAGCAGGCCCAGGCTCTCCATCTTGTGGAGGAGGGCTGAAAGTCCTTCCCCTCCCTTGATCTGCTGCTTTGAAGGGGCTACCCTGCAGTGAGCTGCCAGCCCGGCTGGGCGGTGGTCAGGGTCCCAAAGCAGGGTGCTCTGGGCATTGTAATGCAGCAGAGATTCAACCTCCCATCAGTGCCATGAGGCGAACCCACGTCCTGGCACTCTGTCAGCAATCCACAAAGCTCTGGAGACACATCTTCAGCTGGGGCTTTACGGGGATATTCCAGGTGGTTCCTGGAAGGGTGGCAGTGCCCTCCTGGAGCTCTGTCTGTGGGAGCTGCAGGAATCACGGCCAGCAAGAACACGGTGACTTGTGACAAGGCTGACCCAGGCTTTTGCAATGTCACGAAGCCCAGCTCAGCTCATTGGGTGCCACCTGCTGCTGCAGAGCTGGGTGGGAGGGCGAGGGACAGGAGGCACTGGCTCAGCTGCTGCCTGGGGGACTGTGCTCCCTGAATACTTACAGGCCTGAGATCAGATCTGTTTCAGCCCTCATGTACGGCCCTAGGTCCTGGGAGTGGGAGATGCCACTAGCTCCATCTGCCAGGATCTGCCGGATCAGATCCTCATCTGGGGAAAGAGAGAGCATGAACAGCATTGGCAGGAGCAGAGCACACGGTGCCACATCGGGGTGGTTCGTCACCACTCTGGCTCAACCACGTCTGCGGAGCTGGGGAGGAGGAGGGCCGGGGTGAGGTCCTTCTCCATGGGACTGCCCTCCCCTCCTCCCTGTCTTCTAGCTCCTGTCTATCCTCAGCTTGGCTATGGAGCCCAGCATGAAACTGCTGATACAGGAGGCCAAGTTCTCCTCCTTCCCCAGCCATTTAGAGAGTTCAGAGACACACTGTGGCCCTGCAACCAGTGAAGAAGTGCTGGCTGCTTGCAACGTTCCAATCCCATGGGAACACATCTCTCCTTGCTCCCAGTCTGCTGGCAGTGTGGTGACCACTCACTTCAGACTGACCCACATCAGGACTTCTGCTTTCCCAGACTGAAATCCCCATTAAAAAAACACAACCCTCCTCCTCTGCCCTTCAAATTGAAGCCAGTGGTGATGGCAGCAGGCTTGGCTGTTCTGCCTTCTCCAGAGCTGAGCCAGGGCTCCTAGGGACCAGGTTGCTCCTCCTGCACTTCCCCGGGTCACTCAAACCCTGGCACAGAGCAATGCTACCCACAGACCCACCTGAGGCAGAGAAATATCGAGGCTGTCCCTGGTGAACGCCAAGCGACAAGCTGTCCTCTTCAGGTGCCAATGGGGCCTCGAGTCCAAGGTGGCGGCTGGCCCGGCCTCTCTTCAGCTTCTGGATGGTGTTGCCCATGATGGAGGGGTCACTGAGGAGGTCTGGCCAGCTGAGCAGGGCCTCGCTGGAGGGCCACCGCACGAGGCTGCAGGAAAACAGAAAAGCAAAGGGTGCAATCAGGTGTGTGTGGGGAATGGGAAGCACAAGAAAAGCAACTGTGCTAGTGCCTAGAACTGTCTAGAAGGGGAACAGCTGTGGGAGCACAAACCCCAGTCCACCAAAACAGAAAACTACCCTAAACTCCTTCTTGGTCCATCCCTGGAAACCTGCTTACCTTTTGGAGTCCTCCAGGAACAGATCTGTTTTGGTTTGCTCAGAGAAGGCCTGTAGAGGAAGCGGAGACATTTCAGGCACATGACACTGGTTTGTGCCTGGTTAAAACAGCAGGTTGTTAACATCAGGGGTCACTGGCAGCCTGGGCTGCTATCAGCCTTGACTCCACACCTCCAGGAGCCAGAGGTGCTTGAGCACGTTAGTTCTCGCAGGGGCAGTTGTGGATGGGCATTGTGTCCGTGCCAGGGAGCACACAGACCCATGCAGCCTGCCCAGTTTTCAGGTGTGAAGCTGCTTACCTCTGCCCGGAGCCCAGGGAAGGCGGGGAAGGAGCTGTCGAGGATTGAGGAGTCCAGGTAGTTGTCGATCTCCAATGACTGCTGGTCTGAATGAGTCAGGGTGTGTTTGATGGAAACCTGCAGGAGATGGGAAGGCTTGAGCAGAAAAGGGAAAGATGGAGGTGACAACATCACGGTGGCTCAGAGCCCTGCTGCTCAGTGACTCCCATCAGCTCACTGCTCTGCTGGGAAGCTCCACGCTTGTGCAGGCTGGGCTGGGGGATCCCAAGCCTGCCCAGCAGGGCTATACAGACAGGCACATGCATGCCCTCCACTGCCTCCCAGGCATCTTGGGCATTTGAATCCATGTGTACCACAGCCCAGTGCCACCTAGGCTGTCCTAGGTACAAATTCCCAGGAAACCACCAGGAGGTTTGCAACCTCCTGCAAAGCAGGGAGTGCTTAGAGGAACAAGAAATATCAGACACATTTGCTGCTCATCAGTCATGAGCAGCTGGCTGCAGTACTTAATGGGGCTGCTAATTGTGTCTAACCAGTCATTAAATCCCCAGCTAATCCTTTCACAGCTGCCTCACCACAGCTCTGCTCAGACAGCTGAATTTGTACCCCGGGTAGGCCTTTCATTAGCAATGCTCCAGTGAGCATCTCTTAAGCTCCTGCCAATGCAGCAAAGGGTCATACCTTTAAACAGCATTTGGGTACCTATCGCATACCGAAATCAAGAGGGAATGAGTGCCTAAAGAGCTTTTAAAATCTGCCCGTTTGGTCTCTGCCTTTGCATCATCAGAACCCAGGCACTGATCTATCCCTCTAAGGGCAAGGGCTGCTCGCAGCTCAAGGGGGAGGCAGAGACTTGCGAAGGGCAAGGGCCTGGCCACAGTGCAGGGCAGCACTGAGGCGCAGCTGGGAAAAGTGCAGAGACCAGCTAGAGAAGTGATGTACCACAAAGGGCAGAATCTAGCCTCAGAGGGGCAAACCTGGTGCCATCACACCCGTCTGGGCAGCCCGCAGCTACTTTTCCTCATTACCTTGCCACGAGCCATCCGGAAGAGAAATAAAATGACCAGGTAGAGAGGGTAGACCACCACACTGGACACCAGACCAACAGCCACTGTGTCCACATTAACAGGGATCAGGTTGGAAACGGCCCCATGGCTGGAGAGAATCAAGAGAGATCAGAGACCGGCGTTAGCAGGAGCGCTCAGGGTTGCCAGCGAAGCAAGGAGCGAGACAAAATCGCACAACCTGGCGTTTCAGACGTGCAGAGAAAGAAATGAGCATGGGCTGTGTTAACGGATGACACAGCACAACCAGGTAAGGGGGAAAGCTGATCAGGTTGTCCTTGGTCATCCATCATCCATGTCCTGGTCCCAGATTCTTTGGAACGGGAAGACCAGACTCAAGGCCACGGGCTGCCCAGGGAAGGGGTCGAGTCCCCATCCCTGGGGGTATTTAAAAGCCGGGCAGATGAGGTGCTTAGGGCCAGGGTTTAGTGGTGGGATGGCAGGGTTAGGGGAACGGTTGGCCTTGGTGATCTTAAAGGGCTTTTCCAACTCAAATGATTCTGTGATTCTATGATGCTATTCCAAGCAGATGTAAGGTCTGTCCTGCCCTACGTGGTGGGAAGCGTAGGAAGGGCCCTGAGGAGGTAAGGGACTGGCCAAAGCACCAAGGGATGCAGCGCACCTGAGGTGTACGTTCCCCACCACACCGTACCACACAGCATTGGCACAGAGGAAGAGGAAGATGAGGAGGGAGCAGCAGGTGGCTCTCTGGACACGGGTGAAGCGGCTGCGAGGCGGACGGTCCCACATGGACAGCCAGACGTGCTTCTCAAAGAAACCTCGCTGCAACTCCGCTACGAAGATCCGGGAGAAGCTCCTCAGCTCTGTCTCACCTGAGCACAAGAAGAAAGAGGGTCTCAGGGCCAGCTGCACTGCAGAGGGGACCTGGCCGGGCCTGCCACGGTCCCTCCTTGCAGGCTGATATTCAAGGAGGTATCTACACTGCATCTATACAGTCCCTCCTGCACAGCTGCGTCCTCACCATGCCTTGTCCTATCTGCACTGCATCTATAAGGTCTCTCCTGCACAGCTGGGTCCTCGCCATGCCTTGTCCTCTAGCACAAAGGACCCAGCAGAGCACTTGGCTGCGCAAGGCATCAATGCAGCGAGGAAGAGCCAGCATGCAGGCTCTGTCGTCTCTCTGCAGTCTCCTGCTGTGGGCCCTTCCTCCATGCAATGAGAACTGCCATGCTGCTCAGCCATCCCAGCCCCATGCCCCAGGGGCCAAGCACTCACTGGCAGCATAAACCTCCTTCTCCACCATGCCATCGTTCTCTTCACTCTCCACCGAAAGCCAGTCATTCACCAGGAAGAAGTAGCTCTTGCTGCTCTGCAGGTCCCGGACTATGACATGCTGCAGGTACCAAGAGGGGCTGAGTCCTGAAAGTTAAAGAGATGAAGAACTGTGTTTTCATGGCAGACATTCCCTGCATGGACCAGCAGAGCCAAGAGGGCAACACAAGAGCCCCTCAGTGGGACAGCAGCAGTTACCCTGTGACACCACCTTCACCAGTGGGAATTGCACAGTCCCCAAGAGAAAGGCTTGGCACAGCCAGGTCACCTCCTAGGCTGTAGGGATGCTTTCAGACACTGTCACAGCACATTGCATCGTGTGCATACAGGATTACAGCTGACCAGCCTTCAGCCTTCCCCAGGATGGAGACTCCATGTCCCCCTGCCAGGCAATCCTCCCCCAAGCCAGCAGGTGACCATGGTCTCCCATCAGGGTTAATCCAGACTGTAGGTACTTCTCTCCTGGCCCAGGCACCAGGCAGAGCAAAGCCTGGTTCTGATCTGGGATGTGCAACGGCTGCCTCAGGCCCACACACCCGCTCACGTCTCACCTTTATTGTCATGCCAAATGCGGATGCGCCAGATGCTCCCCAGACTCCGCTCTGTTGCAATCTGAAACACATCGAGGCTGTTGCGGTGGAAAGCGTTTTCTCCATCCAGATGTCTGTGACCGCTTTTATTGTCTACGCCATACAGGGCAATCCCCACGTGGGCTGTGGTACCTGGCAGCATTAACAGAGCTCAGTTAGGGAGTGACATGGTGGCACCCCGTCCTTGCTTAGAGCTTCCACATCCCAACTGCCCCAATTTCAAAGTCCAGGATGATGTTTCTGGCAGCTCTAGCTACAAACCCAGCCCCGGATCAGAAAGCTAAGCTTTCTGCCTTATAGAATCATAGAATGTTTTGGGTTGGAAGGGACCTTTAGAGGTCATCCAGTCCAACCCCCCTGCAGGGAGCAGGGACACCTTTAACCAGATCAGCCTTCAGGCTGCTGGGAAAAATTCAGATGGCAGAACAAAGTGATGGATGCTGGAGGACAGCAAAATGGCCCATCTAAAGGGCCCACAAGACCTGGATGCTTCTGCAGGAGAGGGTCAGAAGTGAGGAACAATCTTGGTTGTTCCTGCAACCACAGTCCAGTCAGGGAAAGCAGGGTGGGGGATTTTTCTCTACTGGGTGGTTCCTTCCAGCAGCAGTCGCTTGCCCCACCCCAACAGCCAGCGGTGGGGCAGCATGCTCTCCTCCACAGCTCTTGACCTGCCCCATCATCACCCAAAAAAAGCTGTGAATGCTGTGGGAAGCCTTGAACTGACCGTCTGCTCAGTGCTGGGCCCTGCGGGGGAACATTTGGTGCACAATGTGCTGAGCTGAGATCTCTGGGGAACCACGCAGATGTCACCTTAGGAATCAAGCACAGGAGCAGACTATGGGCTCACCTGACCCTCTGCCCCAGCCGGTTTTCACCAGGATCTCGTATTTGTACAGCCCATTCTTGCCGCAGAAGGGAATCACCCCCACTCGGTTAATGTCAATCATGTCCAGCTTGTGCACAATCAGTGCAGCCACCGAGTAGGTCACAAAGCAGACAGCACATGTCAGCAGAACGATGTAGTTGAGACCCGGGCCTGGAGCCTGAAAGAAAAGAAGTCTGTTGCAAAGCACTCTCCTTCCCCAGGAGGACCATTCCCCCAGAGTCACGCTGCCTCCTTCCTGACTATAATCATCATTCACACTCATGATACCACATGCAAAGAAGAGACCTGTCCCTGCACAGCCCGTGTGCTCACAGCCCTGCAGAGCGACTGCAGCAGCCGGCTGAAGCTGCTGCAGCAGCTGCCGAGAGCTCTCTGCTCCCACTTAACGTCACACCGACAGCCAGAAAAAGCCCAAACGCCCCTGGGAGGCAGGGAGCAGCTGGCGGGTGCAAGCTCGCTGGGATAAAACAGTGCTGGGTGACAGCTGGGAGGAGCATTCGGCTCTCACTAAGAGGTGAACACACTGCGAGGTGTCCAGAATATAGAATAAAGCCATCTGCAAAGGTCTGTTTTTAGCAGCAGCAGCAACAAGCCAGGATTCATGATCAGAGGACACAGCCCCTCCGTGAGCTGTGCCTGTCTGCAGCTCCTGAAGGCTCGCAGGTACTTGTGCCGGTCTGCCAGCTGGGCACAGCTCAGTCAGAACCCAGCCTGAACGTGAAGCCGACAGGAGCCCAAGGCTTCCCTCTAGGCAACAGCAATCTGCTCAGTGCGTGGCAACGCTGCACAGCCCCTGCTGTGTTTTACTCACAGGAAAGATGAACTGGACCGAGTTTGGGGGGACAAACAGGCTGGCCCCAAAGGCAGTGAGGTGCTGGGTTAAGCACACAGCCTGGTCTGGCCTGGTCTCTTCCAGCGGGATGATGCCTTCTGTCTTCCACCGTTTCTCCTGCTCGCTGAAGTACTGGCAGAGGGAGGTGTACAACCCCAGAGTCACCTCCACCGGAGACCAGCTGAAATGGTTGGTGATGTTGAAGTAGTATTTCTGGACAGCATCATCCGTTCTGGAGAAGGGAAATACAGCAAGGAGCCGTTATTAACCCGCCTGCTGAAGGGACACAAACCCCCTTCTGATGGATGTGTGCCCATGGAAAGCATCCTGCTGCCAGGACAGGTAAGCACACAAGGAAGAGGAAAAGCCCAGTGAACGTGGTGTAATTTACACCACCCTTTGGCTGTGCAGAAACTCTGGGGTTCTGCAGGCCACCTGAATTCTTCTTTATCTTCATATTATTTCAGCACCTGTGGGACTACGTTGCACATCTCTTCTCTGTGCTGGCAGCCTTGCACGGCTCTCCCCCCCACCCCTCCCCGTGTCCCACTGACCCACACAACACTTCCATAGCAACCCTATGATTTTTGGCTGGGGGCAGATTAGCTCATTAGGATGATTAATCCCTCTTTGAGCATCCTGTTACCAAAAGCCATGGAAGCTGTTTCAACTTACACAGCAGTGGCTCCACTCTTGCCCCACCTACTCCCAAGCTGCCTATCGTTTCTTCCCAGATAATGCCTAGGAATGGCTCATAAACAACACGAGGCATGAACGCACACGCTCCTGGGCATGCAGCAAGTCAGCAACTGAAGTTACAATGCCTGCTCTGACAAAAAGAAGAGAGCTTTGCTGCAAAACCCAACATCACAACAGCAGGGCTTAAGGAGCCCTGGCACGCTCCAAGCAGCAGGGCGGATGGGAGCCCACGAGGGAACCTGCGTTCTCCTCCAGTCACATGTCGGAAAGATGAGCTCTGAGGACACAGATTCTGGGGGTGTTCAGCCTGGAGAAGAGGAGGCTGAGGGGAGCCCTTATTGCTCCCTACAACTGCCTGAGAGGAGGGGGGAGCTGGGGGGGTCGGTCTCTGCTCCCAGGGAATGGGCGATGGGATGAGGGGAAACTGTCTCAAGTTCTGCCAGGGCAGGTTTAGGTTGGACATTGGGAAAAATTGCTTCCCCACAAGGGCTGTCAAGCACTGGAAGGGGCTGCCCAGGGCAGGGGTCGAGTCCCCACCCCTGGGGGTATTTAAAAGCTGGGCAGCCGAGGTGCTTAGGGCCAGGGTTTAGTGGTGGGATGGCAGGGTTAGGGTAACGTTGGGCTTGGTGATCTTAAAGGGCTTTTCCAACTGCAATGATTCTGTGATTCTATTCTATGATTCTATGCTTTTGTGAAGGTTGCACTGCAGTTCAGGAATTAGGCTAACACATGGTGCTTTGCTCTGGGAAATGGTTTCATGAGTTGCATGGAGCAAGCCCTGAATCTGCAAAGGTCATCATGAGTCCCTCGCGGAAAGAGTCCTGGTAAAGATGGGATTGGGGAGTAAAGCTGGTAAAAACCCGATCCCTGGTAAAGCTCAGGGATCGGGATTGCACAGAGGATGGAAGTCTGGACAAACGACAAACAGTCTACAGTAGCTGGAGCAGAGGAAAGGGCAGCAGTGGGGGGAGACTCATCACCAGGAGAGGCCCTGGGTGAGGGTCATGATGCTCACAGGGAACATGACTTACAGCTCTAAAAAGGGGGAATCCTCCCTCACCTGTATCAGAAAGGCAAATCACAGAGCACTGAGCTGCTTTTGCACCAGCAGCAGCAGATGTCCAGGAAGGAGGGAGTGCCAGGGTAGAAGAGGTGCTGGTGCTGGGATGTAGGAATGGCTGTTTGCAGCTGCCTGCCCAGGAAAGCCATCTCCTCCAAGGACAGAGCACTGTGGAGAGCTGCAACAGCACCAGCCCCGCAAAGCAGCCTGGCATAAGCCATGGCAAGGCCCTGCGCATCCCTCACGTGCATCCACGGGACGGCCTGGGGGTGACAGAGTTTACAAGGGAGGTTTCTCTTACCTGGGTGAGGTGAAGAAGGTGTAGAGCTTGTGGTCACTTCCAGCCAGGGCATCCAGGCCGATTTTCTTAGAGGCACTGCAGTTGTGCTCATTGGGCTCTGGTTCGTGATGGAGATAAGCCATGATGAATGGCTCAGGCTCGCTTGCAATGTAGTGATCTGCGTGAGGAGGGGGAGAAAAAACAGAAAGTACTTTATAAACACCAGGGAGGGCTCGGCCACGAGCCTGCTGCCAGCAGTGGATGTTCAGGGAGGAGTATTAGGGGCACAGAAAGTAGGGAGAGATGCTTTTCCAGATTGCACTCTCTCAGCCTGCAGTTCAGAGGATCACTGAGCAAGAGACTCGGAATGCCATTGTACGTGACCAAGAGAGGCACTGGACGAACTCCCTCCTCTGCTACTGTGGCTCAATAGAAGGGCTGAGAAAAGCAAAAGGCTTCTCAGTGCATGAATCCACAAGGAAGGATTATGCTGGGGACGGGATAATGCCCAGAACCTCAACCATGCAGCGTGGAACTTGCTGCCTACACCTGAGATCCCCTCCCACACCAGTTTTCTCTTGACACAGCTCTCCTTTGCTGCAACACCCAGCCCTCCTCTCCCCCGGGAAGAAACAGCAAAGAACATGAAGAGTTGGATCTGTCTGCACTACCATTCAAGACTCTGTAAGTGAGCTGGAAGTGCAGTCCTGCTTCTCTGTTGTTGCTCTCCATAGTCACAATCAGGTTCACAGACGTTCTTGCCTCGACAACTTCAGTGCCAGCAGAGAGATTGTCAGCATCTGTGTTGTTTGACACCATTACGGTGATGGCTTTCTCTGAGTCCAGGCTCCCAATGGGGATCTGCACCCCGTTGTGCGTCTGAAACTCCATGGAGGCGACCTTTGTGGAGACGGTGTAGTTGCTGATGTAACCAAAAGGGAAAGGATTGGAGTCCACTTGGAACATGACTTGAATGACATCCGTCAGGTTGGAAAGGGTGGTGTTGAACGCCTGGGGGATGGAGAACTGGCAGTTTGGTGTGTTTTCGTAGCAAAGCAAGTTAAAGGGATCAGACCGCTTGCCTGTGGCCTTGATTTCTCCTCCCACCAGCTCAAGGGGCTCTTCATTCAGCACTCGAGACTTCATGAGGATACGCATCAGGCTGGAGGACAGGTTGTAGGCTTTGGGAGCTAGCAGCAAATTGTGGGAATCAGAAAGCAGTTCCTGGGGCTTGGATTCTTGTGAAACCGTATTGACAAGGTGAATTAGGTCACCTACCAGGAGAGAAATAAAGGTGCAAACAGAGGAAGTGGTAAATAGCCTAGGTAACACCTGACACCTTCCCAAAACAATCAGACAAGTCTTTCCTTACTGTCTTCCCACTGTAACTCTACACTGTGCACATGACCTTCTGCACTGGAAGTGTTCAGTAGCCCATAGCTAAAAATCAGCTGTCAGCAATTCCTGCAGACTCTCAGCTAATCTACAAAGTTTGGTGGTGAGTACTTAATCACAACAGGCTTTGTTTTCCTCCTGTGAAGTGACTAGAATGGGAGATTGGGAAACAGGGAGAGAATGGATAAAGCAAACATATGTTACTAAGTTTTTGCACTATAAAGTGCAGAATACTCAGAAATACATAACAAGGAGCACAAAGGAGGTGCCTCTGCTTCCTCCCAGGGTAACCAGGTGGGAATTTCCGCACGGTGTTCATGGGTGCCCTAGTGAAGCTTGGCAACCTCCTCAGGTTGCAAGCAGGAAGGCAAGCATCTGGAAGCTATAGCTGTTACTCATTGTTTACTAAAAAGACAATTCCCTGAAGTATTAGTGAGTTTATTAACAACTGTCACATTTAAATGTCTGCAGAGGCATCTGCCAAAGCCAGGCCAACCCTGGGAAAAGTGGAGGGAGAAGAAAGCATTGGGGTGCCATGCTCCAAATGTTAGATGCAATCTCCCCAACAGCTTGGAAAGGCATGAGCCAAACCCCTAATGGTACAGGAGAAAGCCTGCAAAATTTACTTCTGGCCAGCACCCTGCACAGGGAGACCTGTGCCCTCAGCAGCGCCCAGTCGAATGTCACTCGTTCCTCCAGAAACAAAACTGACCTGTGATGTTGAGGATGTTGTCGGCGATACCAGTTGGTGTCACAGTGCCCTGGGTTGTCTCCCCTTGCAGAATGGTCATCATGGTCTCCAGCTTGTTCAAGGTCCTTGTCAGGCATGACTTGCAAACCAGCTCCTTGCTCACCACCTGCGAAGGGAAACACAGTCTGATTCAGAAGGAACACCCCCAGGGAAAGACGAAGGCAGCTGTAGGCAAGTTCAGCTCGCTCAGTCCCGCAAAGACCTGAGCACATTTGTTCAAATGACGTTTGCAGCCTGAGAGTCGCCCCTGCTTTCCAGCCCCATGGAGGTGACTGCAGAGACTGTGTCTGCCCTGCTCACACCAAGAGATGCCAAGTACTTGGGTGTCTGCAAGCCTCTTCCATCCACCTCCCCTCATGTTACAACCTGCCAGTGTACAGGCATGCCGGGAGTCTGATGGAGGATGTGTTAGGGTTGGAAAGAGCAATAAGGGGCAGCATATTCACGTTCCCTGGAGTTCACTTGTAAGGACCAAGCACACCTCCTGCTGTTGCATCTCATGAGTACCCCTTTAGGGCCACACACCATTCCTACAGAAATCAACCAGAAGGAGATGGATAGGATTCCTCCATCCGCACCGCGATCTTCAATGGAAGCAAGGCTTAGCCCTAACTGAATCCATTTCAGTGTCCAAATACTCCTGAAAGCTGTGGGAGGGATCCTGCCACTCAGGCGTGATGGATGTCCTTCCCTCTGCTCCCAGATGTGTCCAAGAAACAGAATGTTCTAGCCATGGCCTGGAGCTCCCCGCACTCTCGAGGGCTAGATGGGAGGGACTGAGGCAACACATGGAAGCTGTTACCACAACCCTGTTCCTAGCTCTTATTCATCTTTTTTTCTTTTAATCATCATAGGATTCAGACGTGATTCACCATATGTTTTAGTGAAGAATCAAAACAGCATCTGCAGGTCTAGAATTCCCCTTCTTCTGCTTTCATTTGTAAGCTATGAGAAACGAGGGCATACTGTGAAAATTGGGAGCCCACAAGGTATGGTCAGGCATCAAGGAGGTGGGGAAAAAAAAGAGTTATGGGGAGGAACCACCCAAGGAAGGAGAATCTACAAAGAAAGACCGAGATTCTTTTTTTCCCCTCCAGGAACAATTCATTCTGATTTTTCCTCTCCCCTGTAGGTAAAATCAAAAAAGTATCAGCACTGATTGACACTTCTATAGGAAAGGAAATGTGTGAACTCTGCGCTAGTCTCAACCACTTGGGAAATTCTAGATTACTGTTTTTCTAAGGTTTTCATTCCAATCCAGAGCACAAAACTAATCCTGGAATGTCAGCTTTTCCCATGGAACAAAAATTCTATTTCTAGACTGCAGCTTCCACAGAGAGATCAAGTCGCAAGGCAAGAGCACATGGGAGAGACAGAAACAAAGCAACCCGGCATCAGGATGGGATGTGCCGGGCCCCAAATCCCTGAACAAAGATGGACAGAAAGAAGCGATTTTTAAGGTTTGCAGACTTTGAAGCAGAGAAAGGAGCAGCAGAATAGGGACTCTGTGGGTGGGATGTGGTAGCCTGTCCATCATTTCCGTGACAGCCTCT